TTATTGATTTGTGTGTGTTGATTTGATGGCTAGAGCCGCTTGGGTCTTATAAGACTTTTACCGAGCCCCAGCGTAATGACATGACAGGTTGAGGGCCAAATACAGGTCTGAAAAGCCCAGCAGCGCAGTGGCCAGCTGTGGGTGCGCCGCTGTGGCCCAGCCCGCCCCGAGAGACCGGATGCCGGGCCGCGCTAGCAGTCGCTCCCATGGAAGGAAGGGCTTCTCCTTATTGACGCTACTCCTGGGCCGGGTCGGCCTGACATTCGCGCTTTTACTGTGGAAGGGAGCACACATGGGAGGTACTCTGATTGGCTTTAGTAGATTTAATGTGCTCGATTTTATGGGGTTGTCCTGTATTGGCCTAGTTTTTATGAGCACTGGGGATTTGTTCAACATCATTAAAACCCGCACCAGGCCGGGGAGGGGGTGGGGGTGGGGGGTGGGGATGTTTGAACATCCCCCTGCAGTTTTTGGTTCATCTGTTCATGCATTTTTTCCGCAAATGTTGTGAAAATTTCAGACTAAGGGCTCTCAAAATCAGGTCATCAGGTTCGTCAAGTGACCGTCAAGTGACCTCACTTCAGAAAAAGTTTCGCTCCTCGTCATAGCTACACCGACTGAACGATCACCTTCAAACAGCAAGCGATTTCTAAAAGTAACAGTATGTACAAAATGTATATCTCGGAATTTTGGTGTCGGTGACCTAAGGTCAGGTCACTTTTGAGACCTCTCCAGTCAATGGGAGAGAATTGAATGCGCCTCTTTTGGACGAATGGTGTTCAAAACCCGCGTTCAAACATCGGTTCCTGGATAAACATGACAAACTCAGTCGGAAAAATGCACCTGTGTGCCCCTGAGGTGTCAAACCATGAACAGGCATCAGCAGTTTTTTTGGCCATAACTTTTGACATGACCCTTTCCGGTCAGGTCATGACCTTGACCTGAGGTCAAATTTTCAAAATGACCTCTCAAGGTCAACGAATAGTTAATTCGACGCGCCTTGACGGGAGGAACACGATGCCATGGCAAAAGTAATGATGTGGCTTGCTTGAACCAAAAGTTATTACCGAAAAACCTTTTCCGTGAAAACGGCTTTTTTTTAGAGTTTTTGCCATCTGGAGACTAGACCGTTGACCTGAGGTAACTATGAGAGCATTATTCAGAAAGGTCTGTTAAAGGGCTATTGAATGCGCTTTTCCGTGGCGCTGTAGCTCTATTGGTCCCGAGTTAGCCGTAGGTAGGCAGTTTCCAAAATTGTTGAAATGGACTACATTTGACCTTTGATGACCTCTGGTGACCTGACCTTTGACATGACCCAAAAAATGACCGTTATTATTCCGTCATTATTTTTGACGCTCTTTCGAATTCCGCTTACCACGCATGTCGCTACGTGGCCCAGGAGCCAAGTCAGACGGGGGGGGGGGGGTGTTCAGTCAGACACCTCCCCCCCGGCCCGGCGCGGAAGTCTCGGAGCACCGGCCCGGCGCGGGTTAAAGAATTACTTGTCATGGGGCACTGATTGTAACTAAGACATAACATAGGCAATAGGTATGTTTTTAGGTATAGGTAGGTAGTTTGGGAACAGATGCTTTTTTAAATGATGTCCTTACAATAAAATGTCAAATGTAGGGTAAATGAAATAAATAGGTACTGATGATTTCCAGCACATGCCATCAGTAAAACATTCCGGGTAGAGCTTCAAAAGTTATATCTGCAAACAGAACTTCAACACTTATATATGCATACAGAACTTCAAAACCTCCTATCTGTCATATTTTCATAATGACTGTGGTCGAAATCATCAAAAAGTAGGTACTTCATTCACACTTATTTGGTATTTTATTCTAAGAAGGCCATTTTTCTAGTCTTTTTCTAGAATTCATAGTTGGTGTTTTTAAGTGACATCACTACCGATTGAACCGCTAGCTCCTATTTGATATCAAATAGTAATGCCCTGAATTGTTCATTGACCACATCTATCGATCTCTGTCGGGCTGAAGTACCGAACTGGTGCGGCGTCTGGCGCGATCGGCAGTGTTTCTGCTCTCCACTTTCGTCGTTTCCCCAGTGACATGCCCGGGTACCGCCGCTGACCGCCGGGCTGAACGCTCTAAGTGGTCATTACGTCCAGCTCACCAGTGATGTCACCGGAGCGGGATGACGCGCCGATTCGGCCCTCCCGGACCACTTTCACTGTCACCCGGAGCCGGACGGCGGCCGGTGCAACGGCGGCGGCCGAGGGCGCCGGCGCCGACAGACTATCTGGAGCACGTCATTAGAGGAGGCACGGGATGATTTTACGGGTCTCCCTAACGGGTCGTGTACAAAGGAAACAATATTGGATAACATAATAACCCCACATAAATCGTCCGCCATACCTATCTGTGGTAACAACAGACTAGAAATAGCCGGCTCTCTGAGATACGAGCTGCTGTCATGAAGCGGCACTGCAGCCGGGCCTGCACTTGTCGCCGTTCCGGCTGGCTGCGACACGGTCATTTGCGCAGCACACGCCGCGCTGCCGACCACAGATGGCACGAGCGACGGTCGGCGCGGGCCGCGCGCCGCTCCGCTTTCGCCCTCCACCGACCGGCTGGACGGCCCCGGGACGAGCTGCTGGGGCGGCCGGTCAGAGACGCCACCCCCCTGCAGCAGCAGGCACGCCTTGTACGGCAGACAGTTCAATGCATCCTAGACGGGCTCACTGTGGGCCCAGACAGGCTCTCTGTTGGAGCAGACGGATCTCTGCAGGTTCAGACAGGCTCTCTGTTGGAGCAGACGGATCTCTACAGGTCCCGACAGCGACGGTCGGAGAGCGGCGCGGAACATGGCCGCACGTGACACGGAACAGTTGGCTGTCATGCCGACGTGACTGCATGGCCGCCCCGGGCAACTCAGCTAGCTGCGCAAATGCGGCGCCGTCAGCAGCACGGTGGCCGGTTCTGGGTTGAGCGAATAACAATAATATCGATATTGTCATCGTGGAGGACGCTATGCTCGCGCCAATCGCAGAAAAATTTACAACTATTTAAACTACATTCGTTCTGTAATACGATGCCTGTCACTAGTGTCACTGACCACAGGCTATTCCAGTTCGAGGAGAATGGCGAGGGATGGCGCTATCAAGAACCCACACTTTCGCCATATTATCACAGTTCATATGACCGAGCAGGTAACGCATGCAGGTAAAATTAACCTCAGCCTCACACAGTCGGAAACATTTGTCCAACGCGGATATCAGCATACCGACCGGGAAAAGCTGAAAGTGAGCTGGATGAAACAGCTCGAATTCTGTCGGATGCCTGTTGCCGAATCACCTTTGTGAGGCTGGCGGTCGCCGGGCGTGGTGTGACGCCAACAGTGGCAGCCGGTAGTTTCGAAACCCGTTCGTGAATCCGTGACTCGACGAGCAGTGCATACGTAGACTGCACCTACACCTCTTATGACCTGGTTGAGATGTGATGAGTTTATGATTACATCTCGAGTCTTCTATGCTGACATGGGAAAGATTAAATAATGTGATTTTTCAAATGTGAGAGCGGTGAGAAAGGCTGAACGTCTCCATAAGGCATGTGCTGTGTCATATGAGCCGTTTTCACGACGGGCTATCCGGCGAGTGCACCTAATTTGACCAAATCTGCACCTAATCTCTTTAACAACAAATTTCTTTATTTTATGAATTTATTTCAGTGTTTTAATCGATGATGCTCTCTGATTATATGACAGAGCATGCATATAAGCAATTATTACAACCCTTGCTGATAGCTACTAAGAGACACACTGAACCTAATTTGACCAAATCTGCATCTAATCTGCACCAGATGTGCACCAAATGTGTACCAGATGGCCGTCGTGAAAACGGCTATTGTGTATTATTCTGAACATATTTTCCAAAGCACAAATTACCTAGGTGCGTACAGGCTGAGGTTGGAAAGGTGGAATTTGAATGCATGCGCTGCTTCCGAAACTTGAGTGCAGCATCCAGTTGATATGTGCTGCGGTCGACCAGTCAAATGCCGCGTATAATTGTTTTGTCTATGTATACAGCCCCAGACCACTACATTTACACATGTATCATTAATGGAAGCTTCACCGAGCAGCCAATAGGCCGGTCTCTGGTCACGGCCAGTCCCGTGTTCGGGCGAGCCGTCTGACCGGTTCCTGTTTCGCTCTCTAGCGGCTGTAAAATCACCAACCCGATGTAATCTTTCCGCGTCAGTTTCGTTCCACGTCAGCGCGCGGGGAAAAATCGAAAGTTTCAAACGTATAGCATGCGGCGCGCCGGACCACGCCTCAGTGGGTTTATGTCGCCGTGCGTGAACCCGACGTGTCATGGCTAGTTAGGGCGTGCACGTTAAAACAGCAGAGTGTTCACTGCGCACGACGGTAGCCGCCGGGGATCTGAACACGTGCAGGTCACGTGTCACAGCTCTGAGGAAAGCCGGATAACAGAGTGGCTTGGAGCACGAGCCCAAGGCTCTATCACAGAGGAAACCAGCCGAATCAACTTGTAAACTGAATTAATTTACCACAGTCCACAGGGGGGACTATGTATGCAGAAATATGTCCCGTTACGAGTTATGAACCCCGGTCACGTACCAAAATGGGGAAGAGGTGCTTCTGTTGTCGTGGTCCTGCTCTCTTCAACCCACTACCATCGATACTGACTGAGCTACCTACCTGTGACCGTGTTCCCTCACTACCTCAAACGTTACCTATCTGAACCACCGGACTGATGTTTACTTTTATACCGTACTGTGACGTCGTATCGATTTGACCTATCCACCAGTGAGCGTGTATGTTCCACCCCGAACTTAGATTTATGACTTCGTATCTTTGACAAGAGGTGGTAATAGCCACAAGCACTCTGGATAGCCTTTATAAATGTCTATGTCTATGACTGTGTACACCGGCGGTGCTGACTGCCCTATACTGACGCTGTATCGCTGTGTCTCAGCTGCTGCCCGCTCTATACTGACGCCAGATCCGCTGTGTTGCAGCGGTGGCTGGTAGCCGCGCTGGCGGTGTTGGTGCTGGCAGACGCCGTGCTGTCTGAGCCGACACTGGGAAAGGGTCGCCGCCGCCGCCCCCACCGGCGCCCCCTGCGGCCTCTCAGGCCAGTGCACCACGTGCGCCGGCCGGTCCACCGCCCGCGGCCCAGCACCGGCCACATCGTCATCTTCTCCTCGGCCGTGGAAAACCACAAGGCGCCCCAGCACGAGACCTACAAGGCGCCCGAGCACGAGACCTACAAGGCACCCGAACCGAGCTACAAGGCGCCAGAACCGAGCTATAAGGAGCCCGAGCACGACACCTACAAGGCGCCCGAGCCGAGCTATAAAGAGCCTGAGCCGAGCTATAAGGAGCCCGAACCAAGCTACAAGCCACCGAAATCGAGCTATAAAGAGCCTGAGTCAAGCTATAATGCGCCGGAATCAAGTTACAAGGAACCAGAAACGAGCTACAAAAGTCCTGAATCAGAATATGGACCGCCGAAAGTGAGCTACAGCTATATAGAACCAGAGCCCGGCTACAAAGAGCCCGAACCGAGCTACAAGGAGCCAGAAGTTACATATAAAGAGCCTGAAAGCACTTACAAAGAGCCAGCCACTGAATACAGCCCGCCAAGCACTGACTATAAGGAGCCAGACGCGAGCTATGAAAAGCCCACATCTGAGTATGGGCCTCCCAAAACCAGCACCAGCTATATCGGGCCGGAGACGACCTATGGAGAGCCGGAAACGAGCTATGGAGAGCCGGAGCTGGGCTACAAGGAACCCGAGATAGGTTACAAGGAGCCAGAGACCAGCTACGAGGAGCCAGAGACCAGCTATGAGGAGCCAGAGACCAGCTATGAGGAGCACAAACCTGTGCAAGACTACAACACACTCAGCGAATCTGATTTCTCTGATTTCGGCGACTTCTCGGCGCCGAGGTTTCCACCTTTCCCCGAATTCGAGTCCTTCAAAATCGACGCACCCGAACACTCGAAAACAGCGGGAGGGCCGTCCCCGTACAGTCCACCGCCCACTTACGCGACTCCCACGAGTGCTCCCGGGTACCAGCCCCCAGTGCCGTCCTACCAGCCCCCAGCGCCGTCCTACCAGCCTCCTAGCAACGACTACCAGCCTCCGAAGAACGACTACCAGCCTCCGAAAAACGACTACCAGCCTCCGAAAAACGACTACCAGCCTCCGAAGAACGACTACCAGCCTCCGAAAAACGACTACCAGCCTCCCAAGGACGATTACCAGCCGCCAAAGGAGGATTACCAGCCCCCGACTCCGACCGAGCCGTACCAGGCCCCCGTGTACGTGCCCTCTCCTGGCCAGCAGAGCAGTTACCGACCGCCGCAGATCCCCCGGCCCTCTGCGTACGGTGGCGCCACCACAGACACTGGCGGCGGCGGCGCGAACTACGACGGTGAGCTGCACAAGACGACCCTCTTTTACGGCGACGTACAGGCGTGGGAGAGCGGGGCGCTGCCCGAGAACAGCTACTCGGCGTAGAGAGGGGCCGCTGTGCTGGGAGGGAGGCTAGCCGCTGACGCCCGCTGGCGGTCTGTGTGACTTCTCGATCGGCCGCTGGGCGAGAGGCAGCCGGCAACAGCGCTATTGTTATTTATTGAGATTGTTACGGGTGTCCGAAGTAAGCCATGGCGACAAATGATGACATGCTGACATTGTTTTCTTGCCGTGTAAGCGGGTGTGGATGTGAGTGATAGCTCTCATGATTCGCGGTTTTTAGTTTCATACGATTAGATTGTCTAAATGCTCGACCATAAAGAATAAAGATGGGAAATGCAAATGCTCGAATAAAGTGGCAGTACGACAGCTCATGTACTGGATTTAAAGTTGACGTGATCGAAACAATCGCGTGACTTATTCATAGCGTAACACAGAGAGTGAGCTCCTCAGCGACTGAGTCAACGGGTGCTTTCATTGTTTTTTAACTCTTTCAATGCCATTACGAAGATATTGCGCCTTAGAACATTGCACTCCCTGCTCACGATAAATAGCTGTTGCGTTAAGCGCTGATTTAAAACGCGAATTTATAAAAAAAATGAAACGTGTGATTTTCCCTCGGTTGACACTTGACACTTACTTATTATGGGACAATAACTGAGAAATCAACCTGATCCTTGATCATCGATAGGAAAAAACCGAAGCATAGGTACCAACAAATTGTAGATACCTATGGCCTTAGTACAATCTGCAGCTTTCAAAGGGCTCGCTTATAATCTTATGTGACTCTGACACGACGACAAGCATGGGCGGCGGAACGGGGGGGGGGGGGGAGGGTATCGGGGCATCGTGCCCCCCTTTGATTTTGGCATTTTAACATTAGCCCTATGGGCGTTGCATGGAAAGAATGGGACCCAAAGTCGGCAGTGCCCCCCCCCCCCCTCCGCCGATGTTCCGCCGCCACTGATGACGAGATGGCAAAAGAGTGATCTGAGTGATTTGGTGACCTCACCTCAGAAGAGACCCCACTCACTTCCATACGTAAAGTTGACATGTGAGTGTCATGCAATGCAAAATTTCGCGGAGCTACTCCGCGCGTTTGCCCCGCTATTTATCGAAACCCTGGGGGCGGATACCCGCCCCTCCCAATCGATACACAGTAAACATGCGCGTAAACAGTAAACAGTGAATGGGACGGCGTAGCGGGTGGGCCCTTTACGTCTGTACGGCAGTGCCGCGGTGGTACAGGCCACCCAGCCGCTAACCGGAGTTACCCATTCGGAACTGTCCTCACCGGCTGTCTCATGCCTGGGTGGGCGGTCAAACCGCCGGCATGAAGCAGGTGAGTGCGATAAAAACGAGCATAGGACGGGGCTGAGTGAGGATAGACGCGAATGATGTCAGAAAGGCGTTACCCAATAACATACAAACGATCAGCGTCGTAGCTACAACTTCATTCACGGTCACGAGTCAAGCCCACGACCACAGCAGGAATCGAGCGCCAGAGGGTTCAGGTTTTAGTTTGCAGAGCTCTCCCCAGATGGCAGCAGGACCAGCGCCTGAAGGTATACTGTACCGCCGAGTCCGTTCACGCTGTGTGCGTTAGCACTCACAGTTCCATTCCTTATCAATAGATGGCACTAGTAGTGGACGCCTGAATGCATGCTGCGCCGCATGGCTGAATCGTTCCGCGTTGCCGAGAGCGCTGCGGGGTGGATACAATGTTGGGTGTGGATGCAATGTTGGGTAGCGCACGACTACGGAGCATCGTGCGCTAATGTTTATATTTCAGAATGCTTGGTGACCGATGTAATGGCTTTAGGAGCCATTCTCGGTTTCGTGAAATAGGAACACCTATTACACCTATTAAGGATGCAATGAGACACACGCCTGCAAAGTTTGCCCTTTCGATCCTTATTCCTACATACTTATGTACTCGAAAGATGGATAGCATTACACAGCACGTTTTTCAAGCCTAGCGAAACCCTTAGCTCAGCAGCCGCAATTCGTAATTTTGGTATCCTTTGGCGGTTGCTCGCATAATTTCGATAGTTATCGCATTCACGTCCCCAAAGTATTCCTAGCCGTGTCCCCTCTCCCAAAGCGCGAGATCTCATCGCTGTGACGAGAGCCGTAAACAAGCCGGCTCACAATGCTGCACACGTGACACTGCCAGTCGGAGTCCTCGTCCGGTGGAGAGATCGCCCCGCCGCCGGCCGCCATGTGCGCAGTTGCAGGCCCTCGCGTGCTAGCTGTGCTGCTGATTCTGTGCCCTGCCCCGCTGCAGCCGGCCACAACCGAGAGGAGACTGACTGCCAACAATGACGGTCGGTCGCCAGTCGCCAGTGCAGCTGCTGGGTACCCGTCGGAGGACGAAAACCACCCTCTGCAGAATAAGCTGCGAGTCCCGGGGAGTTCAGAAGCTGCGGCCCGTCCGGCGCCGGCTGTACACGCGAGTCCCCCAGCCGCCGCGGCCGGCCGGGCGGCGCGTGGCGGCGCGGCCGAGCTGTTCTCCCGCGAGGAGCGGTCCGCGGACGGGGACGAGGACGAGGCGCCCGAGGAGCACAGCATGCCCTCGGACCGGCCCTGGGAGGTGTTCATTGGCGGCTGCATCCTGGCCAACGGGCTCGGCGTCTACCTGGTGCTGCTCATCAAGGGCATCGTGTTCCGGGTGCGCTACCGGCGGCTGCGGCGGCCGGGGCGCGGCCGGCACCGGCACCGGCGCGCGCCCGGAGACTCCCGCTCCGGATCCGGCTCCGGATCCGGATCCCGGGCATCCAGCGCGCGGTCCGGCTCCTCAAAGGGATCACAAAACAAAGACTCGCTGGTCACATCTATCAAGAACATCGTCATGAAGCCCGGTTCAAGCGGAGCCGGAAACAAAGCGAAGAAGTCTAAAGATAGCAGTGAGAAGGCAAAGAAAAAGTAGCAGATGGGAGCGGATAGTGGCGACTTTGAAAATTCAGACTGCGATAATCAAGTACATTGTCAACATAATTCAAACATGGCCTGCACTCTAATGCAATGTCTTTTCACGTGCTGAATAACCATTGGTCTGATTTTTTTTTTTCGCGATTCACGCAGTCGTGCTCTGTCATGAGTCATGCTCATCTGGTTTTACGTACCAATGCCAATGCGTCAAAGGCTGTTACGCTGGGGACTGTTGATTCGTTGGCACCCTGCTCGACCTAATGATGTTGTGAACCACCAAACAATAAAATATAATGATAATGGGACTATATTGACAATCCGGCACATATCGGGTAAACCAAAGATGGACTGGTCAACAAACGGAGATTCCAGCTTTGTGGCAGTCTTGGATACTCAAACATCAGCCTTTTTTTGCACACATCAGCTTGCAAGTCCTGCATGACACATCTACATATTGCTTTACCAACCGTACGTAATTTAATGACATTATGATAACGCGTACCAATTGACCAAAATTAATTGGCTAAGGCCTGGTTGGCATCCGGCAGCTCAGGTAATGCACTTAGATGAATAATCGTTGGACGCAACCATCTTCACGATAGCTGGCAGATTTCGCTACCATTATGACCTAAGGACTATCAAATCAGCCTGCAGGTTTAACAGCTAATTGTATCTTTAAAAGCAAAACAGCTACGAAAGAATACAAGTATGGCCAGAAACGCAAAAAGACACAGAGCAGAGTGCCTTAAAGCAGCTGAAACCCCGAACAAACAGCTGGAGACCGGTGACAGCAGCCTCGCTCAGATCCATGCTAAGATGCCCCGATACGTCTAGCGTTTGCACTCTAAGGCGATAGTTAACTTGCCGAGACCAGGCCATATCGGCTCTGTCGGTAACTGATCAGAAGGTCGCTGGTGGTCGCTGCCGGCGCGCCGTCGAACGGCACCTTACCCTGCGCGCCGGTCGGTCCGGCTCCGGACCCGTCCTCCGCACACACCACCCACCGCGCCTCTTTGGGTTACAACAGCCTACGGCACCGTCCGGCCGGGCGCGTCCACCGACACCTCACCGCGCGCGCACCACACTGTCGATCCGAGGCGACCCGCCGGCCGACTCCGGCCGGCGGCTGACTGGGCCCGCGCCGCCCCGCGCACGACGCTCGACTCGCGCCCACACACGGCGGAGACACTCTGCGCGATTTTCGGCAGCCAAAACGTCCCGGTGGGTGCCGCCCGGTCACGTGTACATCATCTCGGCCATGCTGGACATGATGCTGACCTGCGCCACCAGGCCGGCCAGCTCGTCCACGCTGGCCGGACGGCGCTGCCGGTGCTGCACCGAGCACGTGGTCGTGGGCAGCTCGGCCGGCTGCGGCCCGGCCGGCGCCGCAGCAGCAGCAGCAGCAGTCGCAGCGAACACCGGGGCGCCTGTGCCGGCGAACGGAGCCGCCGCCGGCGCGCCGGGGGCGGCCGGCGGCGCCGCGCCCAGCTGGCCAAACTCTGAGCACCGCTCAGGCGCCGCGGCGCCGAACACCGGCCCAGAGGCGGCGCTGAAGCCGCGCGTGGCAGCTGCGGCGGCGGCGGCCGGCCTGAGCAGGCGCGGTTCTCGCAGCAGCGGCCGGCGCGCCGGTTTGAGCCGCGCCGGCCGCAGCACCAGACGGCGCCGCCGGCAGCCGGGTGCGCCCGGCGAGCGACAGCGGCGGCCGCACGGACAGCCGGCGCCGGCCGCCGCCGCCGCCACGTGCAGCCGGCCGAGCCGCAGCGTGAGCACGTCATCGGCGGCGGCGGCGACGTCGCGGTCCGCCTCCGAGCTGCCCGGGTCCGACACCCTGCCGGCGGACGGCGGCGTCACACACGGCACCACCGCAGACGACCGCACAATCGTACAGCCTGGGCAGGACAAAGTATAGGCAAGAACACACAGCTTTCGACAGAACACAGCTGACAATTTAGGTTCAAAGCTAGCAACGTGCACCCTTCCTCTCCTCACAATAGCTGAGGACACATTACCTTCTGATTCTGGAGACTCGTAATTTTTGCAGCTCGGCACTGACGCTGTCAGAGCCTGTCGACTTGCGCGGGGAGGCGGCTCTTTCGCGCGGCTTTTTCCGGTCACTCATTGTCGCGTTGTCGAGATCCCCTGCCTACAGAGGAGCGGTGCGGCAGTCAGCAGTGCCACATTTCAGCCAGACAAACAGGCTTTGCGATAAACAACTTACATATTGTCAAACAGTTGTTAATAACTATTTACACTACCGGAGCGCAAATTCAAGCAGGAATGCTGGGAATTGGCATGACTAGTTTTTTTCGTCTGAGATTAGCATATTGAGCTTCATGAAAAAATATTTTCTAGTTAGATGCAGGTAAACAAATGACTTTTGGTAAGAATACTATGTTTGCAGTTTAGATTATCTGAAAATCCAATACTTGAGACATATCAAATAGTCATTCAAGTCGAGGACAAAGTTAACCGAACATGACAAGTTAGTCAACCTTTAATCTTATGTTTTCAGCTTGTGCGCTGAGCCCACAGCAATGAAAACTTCGTGCGTGGCCCAAGCAAGTAAGTAACCATCCATGTAACTGACAATGAATAAAACAAACAAGTTTCGACTTAGTAGGCCTTGGTGACCTATGTTGTAGTAATCAAGTAGTAATCTTGTTGGTGGCCTTGGGGCCTTGGATTTAGCAAGAACCAGTAAAACCGTTTAAATCGCGTGACCAGCAGTCGTAGTGAGGCGCACAACGCAGGAATCCGAAAAATGAAAATATTTTGATGTTGGGTGGTTATAGGGGAGACTCGGGAGGTATGGGCCGGTTTTTATAAAATGACAATTTTTCCCTATGGCAGGGGCTAGACCTGGTTTTTCACTCTGCGTACGTGAAATTGCCTCTCGCCTGTAAAGTGTGCCTGATATTAGGCATCTGGGATGAACTATTTTGTCGCGAGATCACTTTTAATAAATCATGTGCTTTTTTATCCAGATTGGTATGTAGGTGCACATAGACCACTTTTCTGACATAAATTCCGATTTTTTCGATACACTCAAAATTTTGGATTTTGTAATTGTTTTCCCAAAAAGTCTTTTTTAAATTTGGTCCAAAATCCAAAATTTTCAAAAAACCGAGATAGCCATTTGATAACCAAAGTAGAATCACGTATAGCCCTTTTTGATACGTCTTGATTCATTTAAAAATGAAGATGTTAGCGGCGTTTGACATTTTGCCGTTTTTGAGGCGAAAATGGCGGACATGACGTCACTAAAACGTCATTTTCTCAAAAAAATTCCGACGGATTTCTCTCCAATTTTCTGGAAACGTCTTAAATTGATGTATGATATGGTACTGAAAGTTTGACGTCGCTGGCGTAACACGTTTAGAAGTTATTGGCGAAAAACGGGAGGGGGGCAGATTCTGCCCCCCCCCCCCAGCGGGCCACGGGTTAAGCTCATATTTGTAATTATATTCAAAAGAAAAATTACCTATTCATTTTTGTCATTTTAATTATTTCTTTTCTTTTCTTATTTTTCTTTTGAATATTTTTCTTTTGAATATTACTAATATGAGCATAAGGTTATTAGTAATTACATTCATAATGCTCAACAGTACCATAGCAAGATTACAATCACTTGAAGGCAAAAACTTCCAACTTGATGTTTTCACGGATTTTTTTTTCGCAATAGCTTTTGACAAAAATTGGCACGATATTGACTTTACAAGTATGGTAGTCCTCTCAATTCTCATTGCGACACGTTGAATGAACTATAATTCAACCTTCCTTGAAAGGTCATTTTCGAAATTTGACCTAGGGTCAAGGCCGTGTCCTAACTGAAAGGATGTTTCATTAGAAGTCTCTGTTTCATAATCATCAGCACATGCTCGGATAAACAGGAATTCACTAACAGGCTTGAAAACTATGCACAAAGCAAGCATATGTTACTAAGTGTCAATGACAATTGACAATATCATATTCACACATATTAACTCACCCAGAAACCCAACAAGCAATACATTGACTAGCATGTAGGTACAGCCCTCTGCAGACTGTGTGGTAGGTATCCTTTTTTCGACAAAACTGAGAATAACACAAATACTAGGTATGCTATCTGGCACTCAGAAATCTTAACAGCAAGATGCGCGAGACTCCGCAACTTAGATTGGCATTATCATCGTATGCATTTCCCATCCAGTTTGGCAACAAAACCCAAAAGTTTATATTTGCCCCCAAAACAAACTTTTACATTTTGTTGCCACACAAGGCGTATGCTTTGTTTATTGATAGGCCCTATCGACGGAGTGGAGCATGGTGCATCTATTTGCAGTGAGTTTCGACCGACTGATAACATGACTTTTGAATTATTATCAGTTTTGTCGGAAAAAGAATACCTACCACGCAGTCTGCTGAGGGCTGTACATGCATGGGTGCCCACACTCACCTGTTAACAATGTGATACAAGTTATTGACATGAAATGGCTATGGTCTTCTTAGTGAACATGTAGCCTGATAATTTAATGCTTCCAAAACAAACTGTGAACCTGGAAAACATAAACAATGTTTAGGTGAACTTATCAAATAAAAACACTTTGAATTTTCTCAAATTTTCGGTGGCTATATAAACCCACCTACCTACACCAGTCGGGCGCACTGTGGTATCTCCGATTCATTTATGGAGACGTTTCTATTATTGGAAACGTTTCCAATTTTGACTACTCTTCTGTTCCAAAAATGGAAACGCTCATTCCATAAATAGAAACGCTAACATCTCCGCACATATTTTCTTGCCAAGGGTGGCTGGATTTGATGTATAACAACTGTTTCGCATAAAACAAGCTCAGATACACCAAAAGCACTTGTCTTCTTGCATGGAAAGCTGTCGTATGCATTCAAATTCACGTCTTTAAAATGCTCCTGAATCGTATCCATTTATGGAGACTTAGTTTCCAAAAATGGAAACGCCGATGTTCCAAAAATAGAAACGCTGAAGTTCAAATGTGTGCAAACTTAGCTTAAATGTGTTTTTAAAATTCACATGCAACTAAAAATTTGATGTTTTGGGACTGGTTTAGCATCTCGGCTCTCGGCAGTTACCTTGGACGTCGGGTTCGATAATAATACATTACGCGCCGCAACTTGAGCACATTCAAAAGTCAACTAAAACTAAGATTTCCCAGAAACTACTGGACAGATGTGGTCCAAAGTGGGCAATAAATAAAGCGTAGATATCATTTCAATATATAAAATTAATATCAATGTTACACATGAGCTAGAATGAATAAATTCATCGTCAGAATACAACGGTATTTGGTGTGACGACGGTGCAGACCTTATTTCCATCCTGCTTTTTACGTATTTGCACGGAGATTTTCGTTGATCCGAGCCTACGATCATATTCAGCACATTTGAAATATTATAAAATGCCCACTTAAGTCTCCAAATAGGGCTTTGCAACAACTTTCATGCGATTTAATCAAAGATTGACGACCGCCAGGCCGCTGGTACACCGGAAAACGCAGCGTGAAAATGAATGAAAAACTGAAGCTCCCGGTGATGTGGTTGTTCCAATCAATGGGTCAGTCTTTCAGTAGTCTGTTAAAAACGTTATTTTTTGTTCAAAACATTCATAAATGTTATTATTTTCGATTAGAAAAACGTGTGAATTTTTTATCACGTAAACATGTTATAAGCATCGCCTCGTTCGTCAACTTTCGGTTTTCTGATCGGAAAGTCGGAGAACAGGAACATAAACTAGAATGCTGGCTGTCGATTGGTGGCATCCTGCGCATGCCAAATTGCACCAATCAATGCCCAGTTTGCTTTAAAGGTAGCGATGCACACAGCGTCTCCATTTATGGAACAGACCGTTTCTATTTTTGGAAACGGCGTATCCATTTTTGGAACATTGTTCCAAAAATGGAAACGTTTCCATAAATGGATCGGAAATACCACAGTGTGCCCGACTGACACCACAGGGCAAAAATGAAAACAAGTTGTTTCGTCTGCTGAGGGTACCTAGCAGACAAAACAAATATGAAAAAGTTATAGACTGAAAGCTTCCGACTTCGTATGAATAGAGGAAATTGCGTGTAACAAGCATAAAACCCTACCGAACTGCTGGACAACCCCTAACCCTCTCCCAAACAATCACAACGCCAACAACCGACGCCAAGGACGACGCCACGAATGACAACGCAAAACTGAAACACGGCATATCAGCTCTGTCGCTGTTCTACATGAGACATCTAGCATCTTGTTGGCATGACTATTCGGTTAACATTCGCACTTCTCACCCTATTTTGATGACGATTTTGTAATGTTGCTAAAAATGTTCGAAATCACGATTCCTACCTCTGAAAAATATTGTAACTTAAAATGAAAGATTGGATTTGGATTGGATTATGTGAAAAAACATGGCCTCAATAAAAGTGATGTCATGGATGAAAGAAGGTTCTCCTTCATCCATGGTGATGTTATGCAGACAATATTCATGAAAAATAGAACAGACAGATCTGACGCAGACGCAAAGTATTTGCGTCCGTCAAATAAGGAGCAGCTTCATATTTCAGAATCTGACGTTGAAAATGGGGATTTGTCGTTTCCGAAAAGAGGTGGGAAAATATGAAAGTTTTGGGAGCCAGACTCGAACCAGACCCGTCTGGACATTTCTGGAACCAGTCGGACTCGGACCCGGTTGAAGTTGGAATCGGAACCAGTTGGACCCGTTACCCAAAAGTCAATTATAATACAAATTACAAACTACTTGTACAGGGTGTCTCAAAAGTTCGTTCACAGGTACCAGCCATGCTTTTTTGTCAATAATTCTGAATCAACAAGAAATTAACAGTAGAAATTTTGCATGGGCATTGGTGACAACCTTCCTCAAGCAGTCTCATTGTTTTCAAGTGCATTCGACCCTTCATGAGCTCACAAAAAGGGTTCACCTCTGACCATGGGTCAGGCACGAAAATGTAGGCTGCAAAGTCGGGTATGTTGTGAAACTCTCTGTTTCAGGAGTAATGGGAATAGTTAACCCTAGAACGCCTAGGGGGGGGTTGTATCAACCCCCCCTGAGGTTTTTTCGAAGTGCACGCTAAACGGCTTGTCGTAGCGGGCTGAAATTTTCAATACCCTCTGGGGCAACCTTTGCGCATCTTTTGCCGAAAAAAAATGATCGGGTCATGTCAGGTCACGGAGTTATGACGTCATAAGAGGTACAGCCTCCGGCCGGATTTTCACAAACTGAGTGCCAACGCCCGAGGTTTCCTGCCGGTGGTACGGACATCTGTTGATGGATCGTGATGAAACTTCCCATGCATGTTGGGGCAAGTATTGGCTATCATATGGTATAAGAAATTTGACCGGGTCAGGTCAGGTCACGGAGCTATGACGTCACAAGAGGAACAGCGTCCGGTACTATTTTTGAAAAGCGCCCGAACCACTATTTTGCTAATTCTTGTCACCTCAATGGGAATATGCAACAATATTAGCTTCTATAGGGAGCAAATGGACCTCCCAAATCCAAAAATACAATCAGATTTCAAAAATTTAAATTTTGATTTTTCGAATTTCTGCCGCCGACTGTGACCTTGCCGACTTCCGGCGCTCCCAACGCGCCATTTTTAGAGCTAGGGAAACGAAATACATACCAAACGATAGAGAATTGATCAAGGAACACGATAGTGAAGGTTTCAAGTCGATATCTCCCACCGTTTTGCCGCAATCGCCGCCGAAAGTTGAAAAAAGTCTATTTTTCCGAAAATTTGACCTTTGACCGGTCAAAAGTAGGTCAAATGTTGACCTAGGACCAAAAAATATACCACCAATCGCGAGATCTCGTTGAGAGCAATCCGTTGGTTTTTTCCGCTAAGCTCTACGACCTTCCGTTTCGAAACGCCAGGGGGGGGGGGTCGTAACAACCCCCCCCCCCCCTGGTCGTTCGTGTTATGAGAAATGGCCTGGTCGTGCGAGGGTTAAGTCGGAAATGACACATGGCTAAGTGTCGGCGAGGATGAGTGCAACATGATGATCATCTCATAAAAACGGTGGCTAAAATTTTTGAAGGACGAAACCATGCGAGACTAACGGCGTTTTGAACGACCCTCGCACGACAGCAGACTCGTGTTCCGGAAAGCAGCTGAAAATGCGGTCATAACTATTGAAAACTAGCAAGAAGGTCACAGACAGAGGTTACCCATTTTCAAAAAGTGCAGGTCATCGTAAAATAAAGACAAATTATAATTTAAAATTGTTTATAATATCTATAACGCTAATTTTTGGGGACAATAACACAAAAATCGTCAATGCCAAGGACACCTGACCCTCCAAAAGTGTCAGTTATTGTAAAATTTTATCTAACGAAGTTTCAAGAGGCAGATCTGCAGCGAATAATTTTCTTTTAAACACAAAATCCCGATAAAACCACACGATGGACAGTTTTGGGCCGTTTACAAAGCAGAACATCTCCCGAGGAAAACACTCCGCAACCGAGCGAAGGTCTTGGCATGGGGAATGACAAGCGCTTGGAATTTGCAAAATTTGCACAATGTGTCTGAGAAACAGACGCCCGACACATTCTGCTACCATATGATGCGAAAAATTTACTCCTGGCACTTCCCGTTTGTTCAGGACTGGGGTCGTTTTGAAAAGGAAAATGGCGCTTGGGATGTCGGCGCCAGTCATTCATGAAGGAGTTAGCGCCAGAGAATGCCTACAAAATACTCAAGAATGGTGTCGATGCAAGCTGTCGGCTTTCAGGGAAAATCAGATGTTGCCGGGGAGCTAGTCAAAACTAAATCCGACGCAGAAACTGCAGGGGATTCCCCTGCAAGAGCTTGAAAGCTGGTAACCTTTTATCAGCCTCCGGCAGCTGATGGAGTAACAAAAATCGGTATGGGCAAATATTTTTGGAGATACAGCAAAGGGGTTGGTTTCCAACCTTCTTAATCAGTTGGCAAAGCATGCATACCTATTTGTCTAGTGTACACACAGACACCAAAACCTTATACTTTTGGCCGGTTCTTATATGCTTTATTGGCATGGGAAATGTGTGAACGAACTTTTGAGACACCCTGTAGGTATCATTAGTGATCATTAGTTGCATCATGTAAAACAGCCTTTTTCCCACTGGGAATACTCCTGAGCTACTGTGTGCAAAGAAAACATTTGCAATAATGTGTAGTGTGCACCTATAGTTTAGGTATGGTAGGACCCGGTTGGACCCGTCAGAGAATTTCCAGGAACCGGTCTGGACCCATATGTATGGGCCCAGACTGGTTCTTTGGACAGGATCTTTGGGTCCACATTTTGCCACCTCTATTTCCGAACATTGACCCGAACATGACCCGACGTGGCGTTTAGGCCGCGTCGGGCATGGGCGTCGCCACCACTACGGACACTACGGAGTCCAGGGCTGCGGAGTCGGAGTCGGAGTCGGAGTTGGAGTCGGTGGGAGTCGACAGTTCTGCCCGGAGTCGGAGTCGGAGTCGGAGTCGCCAAAATTATGCCGACTCCGACTCTGGAGTCGGAGTTAACGCCGCATGGGTCGACGTCATGTACGTACCTAGGTACTGCACCTATTTGGTTGACGATACTGCGCTCGAAATTAGATTTTGTCGAGAAAAAAGGCAATTTTGCTGTATTGGACAAACGTTTTCAGCGTTCCCAGAACCTACTTTTTAATTATGCGTGCTATTTTTCATACATATTTGCAACGCAGTCTTGAAACGCACAAGGGATCGTTTCAGGCAAGATAAAAACATCCCCATTATGAACTTCAACAACATGATATGGATTCAGGATTTTTAATAGACCACGTTTCCATGGGCACTCGTGATCCGAATCAGCAAATTTAAATTGTATAAAATTTCTCGAACTCTTCATTAGAGGCTATAATTCGAAGTGGATTAAGCTTATATAACCAGTCAATCCCTTATTTTCCTTTTCATATTCTGACTAACTATACCTACTGGATTAGTTAATCCAGTTTTACTGATCCGGATCACAGGTGCCCATGGAAACCGGCCCACCGGGCTATAGAACCGTCCGGAGTCGGAGTTGGAGTCGAAGTCGGAGTCGATTTTTGAAGCCGGAGTCGGAGTCGGAGTCACCCTAAAATCCATCGACTCCGCAGCCCTGCTACGGAGAGTGTCCGTACAAGTTTCGGAAGGTCTAAAAACTTGTACGGAATGTCCGTACAAGTTGTGACGACCGAAAATGAGCTTTGCAATTGAAATGGCATAATTGAAATTTGAAGCAAAGGTAGGTATTTTTGGTAATGCTAGATAGGTTTAAAAAAATCCGGGAGGTGCTTACTAAAGATGCTCGAGTTTTTGACGGGAAAGACAGCGGTCTTTATAACGTTTTTCGGTGCACATCTACCAGCTGAATGACATTGAATGACATTTTCTCTTTCAAACCGTGTGGTAGATTAGGCACCTATTCCGGTGGATCGTACCAGCTTGAGAGAACTCGTCCTCACAGGAATACAGCACACTGGAATACCGGGACGCAGAAACATAAGATCAGCAGTTCTACACCCCTGAGAGAGGGGCTGTGTCCCATAACATGATGCATATGGAGGGATACAATACCGCTCTAAGTGGTCATACAAATGTCACATTCGTACTTATCTGGACTGTAAGAGTCTCACGACTTTGAGGACATAAATGTTTCTCACTTATTCGAGGAGCCCAAGCGACGTGGGACGATATTCTAATACGAGGACACCGAAAGAATGAAGTTAACCCAATGCAAGTGCCTATACATCGTTCATTATCCCGCACCGAAGACAGTGTTTACAATTGCTTGAGTGCAAAGACAGAAAATTATCAGATGTCGTTTAACTGATTTGTTAAACGTTAGTTTTTTAGTTACGTTAGTTAGTTAGTTTAGCCGGACGCGCGTGTTAACACTCGGCGGCGCAGCATCTCAGGAGCGTCGGGACGGGGATGGGACAGCGCATAGTGGCAATGTCACGTTCGGTAAGCATCTCGTCGAGACTCGACCACCCTAGCTCGCGCGGCGATGGCGTGACGTGTTCCCGACTACCGGGGCCGGTCACAATGCGGACACCAAAGTTGATGGCCTTCTGGAAGCGCTGCTTTTGGATTGTGTTACACTGCACACTGTCAAGCAATAACGAATGTGAGGAAATATTATCTATTACATGCCACATAACCCCGCATTGTCATTTTGAACAGCGTTGTGTCTAAATCCGTTACCATTTTTGGCAGAAACGACAAAATCTTTCTTGTAGATACCAAACCCATCAACGCATGGCACCACGACGTTGGGTTTTGTTTACAACCAAATCAGCTTATGTTATACAAATTTTCGATAGGAAGAAAATCTTCCTTAAAAACTACGATAGGCAGAATTTCAATAGTGTTTCGCAAAATGCTACTATATAGAAATGACAAATGATTAGGGTAGAATGTTTCCGTTAGCTTGCGTCATTCATTGTACAGATGTGGCAACCAATATACCCCATTCTCCCTAACCTCCTCGCACTTCCGCACGTGCAGGACTCACTCTCCCGCTCGATTGTTTCTCGCCCCAATAGGTGTCTTACCTACCGCTTTATAATTGCCCCCGCCTCACTGGGGGGCTATTCATAGCCCCCTCCCGTTTTTCTGCAATAACTTCCAAACCGCTTGACGTATCGACGCTAAACTTTCAGTACCTTCGTCTGCATCAATTTGACACCTTGTGTCAAAATATGAACTTCGTAGCTACTATGGGTCGGCCGGAAATGACGTCAGAGTGACGTCATGTTTGGCCGATTTCGACGCTAAACATTGAACCACGGCAATCGCTCCCAAGAGCTCAGTTTTTAAACTAGATCCAATTTCTTTGCATGAGAGGACTCAGAATAGACTCCGCTATCAAACTGTAATCTCGGGTTTTCAAAATTTTGAAAATTTTGTAAATGATATATAATAATATTTTAAATTTATATTTTTATCTTTTTTCAAAAACTTTTTGACTTTTCGAAAAAAACGGAATGTATGTGATACCTACCTAGAACAGATGCTTATGGCTTACTTTAGCAAGTTTTACCCAAATAGGTATATTAAAAACGGTCAAGTTATGCGTATTATTGCAAAAATTCACAATTATAAATTCTTTCAAATCATTTTTAGTAGGTACGTATTTGACATCGTACACCAATATAAATAGCACCATCGGGTTCCCGAGCTCAAACTGCATCCAACAGACACATTTTTTGTTGACAAATTTTAACTTCAAAATTTGACCTTTTTTGACCTGAAAGTGGACTGACCTATGCTAAATTCAACCCAAAATGACCTCGAATGACACAAATGACATCGAATTCGAAATCTATGGCCTAAATGGACCATAAAATATGTGTCACGTGACCGACGCATGCTATATTTCCGTGACCTGTGGTGACCTGATCCTGACCTCAAAATCAAAGTACAACTTTGGTACCCTCAGTGTATCTAAAGCATCTGTTCACGATTGTGTAAACCAAAAATGAGCCTGATCTGAATTGTAAGACGGCGGCCAGAGCCCAAAATGTGAACAAGCCAAAATGCTAATAATTTTTACTTTGACCTGACCTGTGACGTCAACGGTGACGTCGAGGTCAATGAAATTAGGTTTCGCTCGACAGTTTTTCCGGGGATATCAGACACCGTTTGAATTTTGACGATCAGCCCAGTAGTTTCGGAGTTAGGAGCTGGGGGAGCTATAGAGCCCCCCCCCCCCAGTGGGGCGCGTTATACGCAGACCCCAGTGAGGCGCGGGAAGAGCTAATAAATGTTCCCATTGAAGCTAACCCAAGGGAATATGTACCAGTATTTTCGTGATGAGTTTGTTAGTTGTTACAGCCTGTCATGGGTCGTTTGTTGGCGGTTACGCGCAGTGGCGGATCAAGGGGGGGGGGGCAAAATGGGCATTTGCCCCCCAAACGGCATAATTTTAACATTACGCCTATGGACGAGACATGAAAAGAATCGATAAATTGTTATGGTTTGCCCCCCCCCCCCAAAAAAAAAAAAAACTCTGAGCTGGATCCGCCTCTGGTTACGCGGTTCACCAGAGCCGAGTTACGGCCTGGATGCGGTAACTCGGAGTATGTAGGACGTAGGTACAGCAGTGGCACGGCACCCCTCGCCACTACCGTGACCTCCTCGCGGGTCACCGCCGCGACGCCAGCTAACTGTGCCTGCTATACCTACCAATAACCGCCAGTGTATCTGACTGCAATGGGACACACTGCGTGCATGGGTAAATGTGCAAAATGCGATGTAATCAATATTTTGTATTAACTAAATAATACTGTAGCACAAACATGACACGTTGGCATTCAGGCGAAGCTACGAATATCGGCAAGACGATAAACGATCTAGGTGCCCGCAAGGAAGCAGAAAAGAGATATGTGCTTAAAATGCATTTTTTTTAATATATCCAATTAGCTTATATTTATAAAAGAGTATCGTGATTCACGGCTGTATCTTCATCGAATGCATATTTCCCAACGCATTTTATAATCCCAGACATGATTGCTCTGCTCATTGAATTAATTCGAGGCCCGAAAAGTGCGTAAGGTAAGGTAAAGTGCATATGCGTAGATCAGTGTTCTAAAATTGGATTTTGGTTGGGTGTGCTGATGAAGAAAAAAAATCCTAAGATGAGAAAAAAGAAAGTAAATAACTGACGTATTTTTGCAAAATGGTATAATGCTAATTTTTATGCCAACTGGTAAACCAGGATTTCAGTGTCAGGATCTTGACAGGGTGTGAAACAGAAGGATGTGGGTGTATCAACTGTCAAGTGACATGTAAACTGGCTGTTCGAATACATGAAACCTTTTTCAGAGATGAAGTAAAGTCAGTCATTCATATTTTAGGGATGAAAATATTTTCCCCATTAGGTGTGATTTGCCACCAAATAGTCTGAAAAATGGAACACTGGCGTAGATTGTAGGTGAACGAGTTACAAACCATGGTACCTGAACTTTGGATGCGGGGGAAATGTGCAGCTCAGCAGAACTGCAAACTAGTGCAGAGTAGCTCGCGGAATAGTTCAGTTCGGCATCCGTAACAAAACTCAGCGAACGACAATGGCACAAAGTCTTTCTTTGCCGCCATTCAGGCCTATATCACAAAAGGCTCCCGTTCTCCACCGTTGCCTTTGCCGACTCTCGGCGCTACACTGAGCCACGTAGCTGCACCGAAGTTCTTGCACACGACAGCAATCACATCGCAGACCAATGTTCTCAGATATGGTGGATGCTGGGATGGTGGATGCTGGGATGGTGGATGCTGGACACATCACTGGGCCTAGGGACCAGTACATTCGGAACTGGTTCAGGGCGTTCAGTTGATCGCAGACGGGGTCAGAGGCTCCTCTTCCGCGGAGACCAGGCTCTCCGGTGATGCAGGCTCTGTTGATGCAGATTGCAGACTCAGGTGATGCCGACTCAGGTGATGCAGATGTTTTTCCAGATGACTCGTCTCCGGCGGTGGCGCCGACGGCCGCTCGGGTGCAGCGAGATGATGCCAGAGTCGTAGGGACTCCGCTTCCCGGGAAACTTGTAGCCGGACGCGGAGAAGAGGCCTGCCGGACGTTTCACAGTCAGTGATTACCTATCCATCTTTATGGAAAGCGAGCCGTCATAAAATCTGCTTAAATGTCAAATTTCGACAACTAATAACAATTCAGAAGCCTTTTGTCATAGACATTAGACGTTGATTAGATAACTGTGTGCTCTTGCATATATTTTATACCTACACTAGATCAAAAATGACACACCAAATATGCAAATAGGATGTAGACTGTTTATCACCAATAAAAGAAAAAATGCAACTGATGCAGTAAATGTTCGAAAACCCTGTATATACCCCGCAGCCATCGCTCAGCCTCACAGCTCGCTGACGCCGCTCGGACCGTTGTGACGTCACGATGGCGTCACTCACTGGTGGTGATGACGGGCCGCGGCGGCTCGAACTCCTCCTCCTCCCAGCTCCGCAGCTCTGCCAGGTAGCGCTCGGCCAGGTACGTGAACACCTGGCTAACGTTGAGGTCCTCTTTGACGGAGCAGCGGTAGAGGCGCACCTTCAGCTCGCGCGCCAGCGCCTCCGCCTCCTCCCTGAGGGTGGGCGAGCAGAGTCAGGGGAGCCGCATGAAGGGGGGGGGGGGGATCCAGAGGTAGGCCTGCAGAGAGACTGCTGAGGCAACAGGGAACTCATGTAGCTTACGGCTGCTCAGAAACAGGCAAAATTGCGACCCCTTAGGGTATAAGCAGATTAACAGCTACACATCACAGAATTAAAACAACGCTAGAGCTATCGACTTCCACGCACTGACGTGGTGAGTGCCATTTCAGTCCTGTGGCCAGACTGCCTCTGGTCTCGGATCGGCGCCCCCTGGCCGATGTTGCCGCCGGGGAAGGTAGAGGTCGCCTCCAGCCTGCACGACCGATTTCGTGTAGGTCGCTTCCAACCACGGCCTGGTGCCAAGCCGGATCGGTCGGTCCGCATTCCTCATCCGGTGGTATACAGGCGCATACAGGTCATACTGGAGCAGCGCTATCTGCACGACCTATTGTCATAGAAAGAACTGCACGCCAAGCTGCTGACGCTGCGTTTTTAACCGGGGCCAAAGTGGTTTTTATCGGTCCAGTGTCCACGGCCGAGTCCCCGCACCAGAGCCACTCCTTCCCAGATCTGCCGGAGCACTGGACAAAACACTGGACACTCGACGGCAGTGTCCAGCGTACAGCGGTGGGTCACTCACGCGTCGATGGCGGCCCTGTCGATCAGGTCAATCTTGTTCTGCACGAGCACCATCGGAATCGTACCGCACTCATCCTCCACCTGAAAAACAGAGAATGGGTGAGACATTCCAACATTAAATCGGGATCATCCAATGTCAATGCCATTGACCTGACCTTTACTTGACCTTGACACCCATCATGGTTAATGCTACAAACATCGTTCCATAAGTCAGTGCGTTTCTTATCACAAACCTGGAAACACACAGATGATGTTTAGTACGTCGAATGGCTATTCCGGCCTGGTATGGTCTCAAGAAGAAATGACAGGTCAAAGGCTATTTGGGTTAAGGTCATGAAAGTTCATGGATAGTTGTAAAATCGATCAACTTGAGTCATGAGTGTACCGGTTCCGTTGCGACCCGTCTGATTAATGCGAGTTATTCGCAAAAACCGAAAGGGAGGATCTGTTAAACCTCCCGTATCGTTTATAAATTTGCCTCAAAACCTTAAGGCCATTGCATTGCAGCGTTTTCACCGCCACCCTGTTGCCTGTGTTGCGATATGCGAGCGTCTCCTTCCTCGACTGTATACCGGCGGGAGGAAGCGGCTCCCACCCTCGCCGGGCGCGTCTGATTATGCGCGCGCACAGCCCGTGGAGGGAGAAGGTCGCGATTTCCGCGCGCCCGCGGCGCCTCAGACCTACTTTCGCGAGTCGTTTCGACCGTCCGATGAGAAGAATGCATTCGTCGAGAGACGGGGCTCGGAGAGACGCTTAGTTTTAGGTGTGTTACAGAAACGGCTGAACTGATATCTGTGGAAAGCCCGTGATCACAGCAGACGCAAAGGGAAAGGTTACATCATATATACATATGAAATAAAAACCAATAACGGGGAAACAGTGTGCAATGACACAACCGGACATGAGAATTCCCGTGCGACTATGCGATGGTCTGGAATCAGGATGCGAACTCGAAGGCTATAGAACGTGTGTCAGTCGTAAATTTATGGTCATGCATACAGAGAGGTCAAACAAAGATCGGTCAAATGTCATGCAGAGGACAGTCAGATGTAGCACAGAGCTTAGAGGTTTGGTATACCAAAATGATACAGTTGCGGAGGTCGGCCACTCGCGGTCACTCCAAACCATCACTGCAGAGGTCACCCCGTGAGAGGTCACTTGGAGGTCCGTCTGTAAATGGGGTGCACCTGTGGACGGTATATTTCAATACACAGAGAGGTGGGTTGGTCAGAGGTCAGAGTCAGGGTCTTCTGTCGACGTCTGGTCGAGCGTCAGCTCCCGTCCCTCGGGTGACGGATCACGGCTGGCGGCGCGGACGGAGCCCCGCCGGAGGATGACGGGCAGAGCCGCGGCAGGTCAGGGCCGGCGGCCGAGACGGGCCCAAACCAGGGGGTTGGCGTGCTGGGCGGGGCTCACGTCACCATGAAATTACTACGAGGAATTTAGACACCCAAGCGGTTTCTCTCTAGTTCTTCCTCATTGTCTTTATGTTTCTTTAATTTTCTAACATTTTCTCCAAATTGCTCTAATTTTCTATAATCTAGTTTAACATTGGCCCATCTAACATCTGGTTTTCATATCGATTTTGCGAACGATATTGATTTTCTTTGGAATATGTGAGCCATTTTGAGCAACTTCAACCCATTGAGCCCGCTCATTTGTGTTTCCAAAGGACGACTCGTCTGGGACCTTGCTGCTGGGATGACCATCAACTGGTATCATATGTCCGTTTTTATGATCCGCCCTATGAAACTTCACTAGTAAAATCAGACATAAAGGCAAAGCACAAAGGCGATCCGGGCAAATCTTACGAACTACACCGCATGAGAGCAAGCTTTCCCAAACGAGAACACACTTCGCTTGAATATTGGTCTATGCTGTGGCTGATTTAACAGCCGCATCACCAGCGAAACTAATGGTTTCTGGAGACGGCGGCTGTGGTCCTTTTGAGGGCATTACACGGCTGATCAATGACGCTCCGCGGGCGCCGACAGACCGCTGGTGATCGCTCATCGGTCGGCGGTGACGCCGGCGCGGCGCGCGTGCTCTCTGCAGATGACTCGCGCCGCTGCCGAGCTCGTCCCGGCACTGGCGAGCAGCGTTCGCCACGGGCCGAAAAATCCCAGTCCAGCTCGTCTCGGTACGGAGAGACCGACGGCGGCTCTATCAGCGTTGGTGTCCAATCGAATTCACGTCATTAGAATAGTGGATGAGGCGACTCTTATTTAGTGTCGTGACAAGTTTTAACCACCCGACACCGATTGCTGATTGCATATTCAATTTCATACGACGTGACCATGAGGGACCTTCGAAGTTCTAGATATCGTCAGTATGCTGTGCGGCGTGCACAACAAGAGGAATCCGTGTCTTCGTAGCACATATAAGAGGAGCATTGACGAGCTTTGAAACTAAGCCCTGCTAATTAACAAACACAACGAACGTGCTTTGTACTACTTTACCGAGTGAATGTGAGCGTGGGCACCGGATCGCTTCGTAGCAGGGTAAGGGACACTTATGTGACCAATCGTAGTACTACTTCTCAGTGCACACCCAGCCATTGAATAACCTTGAAAAAATCAAGCTCTCGTAAAAATGCAACATTCCGACCGAAAGCGTGGTTCACTATAGTCTACAGAATAGAAAAACTAACCTTTTTCTTCCAATGTCGGACTGCCTGGAAGGAGACGAGGTACAGAGGGGCGGGGGAACTGACCTTGTTTATACGGCAGGGCCCAGAGGGGTGGCAGAACTGACCTTTTTCTTCCAGTGCCGGACGGCCCGGAAGGAGTCCAGAGGGGCGGGGGAACTGACCTTTTTCTTCCAGTGCCGGACCGCCTGGAAGGAGGCGCGGTCCACCGTTGAGAAGGTGAGCACGCAGGCCTGCGCGCCGCGGTAGTAGGCCTTAGTGATGGCGTCAAACTCCTCCTGGCCGGCGGTGTCCCAGAGCATCAGCCGCACCGGGTCGTCGTACACCCTAAGGGAAAAACACAGCATCAGCCGTGCCGGGTCATCGTACGCCCCAAGGATACATCAACGGCATCAGGTCGTCGTGCAGCCTGTGAAATGAGGAAGCCGTGTCCGTCTCCATTTCCGGGCCCGTCTCAAGTCCCGCGTCTCTTTATTCCTGAGTTCATCTCCACCATCATGCCCACGTCAGTCTTGCGTCATACTTCAGTCCCGAGTCCCTGCACTTCAGTCCCATGTCGCTGTCTGGGCGCCGATGTTTGTGGGACAGCAGTGAGCGGCCGACGGCAGACCCAGAGAGCCCAACGCCCGACGCCGCCATTCAGGCCCTGCGCAGTGTCGAAATGACGCCGCTGTCGCCCTGCCGACCGGCACTCGATTCGGCATTTATGGCGCACTCGCCGGCCGTCACAGCGGGGGACGGCACACAGAGAGCGCGCGCGCCGAGAGACAGAATGGAAACTAGCCCGCTTCAGCTGCTTAGGGAATCGGCATTCACGATTTCAAACTGGCTATGAAAACTGAGAGTGAAGTGAATAAGTGAAACCAGAAGCCAGTTAGGCAATGCCTAAAAGGAGCGGGACATTGATGGAGACACGTGGAGCGGCGCACATTGTCATTTTTGACTGACATAGGAGAGCTACCTACATTTGAAACAACAAAACAACAAGCGTAACTCACGTACCTACATTGGTAGGTATACAGACCTACATCAGAATATAATGCGTATTCCAAGTGACAACAGGGAAGTACAAACTGCTACCGTTGAGATACAACATTACATAGTATGTAGATGTACTGTGTATCGACCTACGATACCAGCCGCTGGTGGAAGTGACACGCTGTACGTCACCAGCTGGGTGGAGGGACCGCGGGCAGGTCGGCGGGCCGCTGTCCGTCACCAGCTATAGGGTGGAGGGACCGCGGGCAGGTCGGCGGGACGCTGCCCGTCACCAGCTGGGGTGGAGGGACCGCGGGCAGGTCGGCGGGACGCTGCCCGTCACAGCTGGGGTGGAGGGACCGCGGGCAGGTCGGCGGGACGCTGTCCGTCATCAGCTGGGGTGGAGGGATCGCGGGCAGGTCGGCGGGACGCTGCCCGTCACAGCTGGGGTGGAGGGATCGCGGGCAGGTCGGCGGGCCGCTGCCCGTCACCAGCTGGGGTGGAGGGACCGCGGGCAGGTCGGCGGGCCGCTGCCCGTCACCCCGGGCCCCGTCCGAACGGATGGGTTTGTTGATTCTGCGCCCACCTGACATAGATCTCGGGCCAGCGGGTGTGATGGAGGTACCGCTCCCCGCCCCGGGCCGGCGGGTCGTCAGACAGAATTGATTCATCATACCACGCCGCATTTGCATAAGTCCTCTGTAATCTAATGTTACAGCAAGCTATCGTTCCGTCATTAGCTACGCTGTTCCTACGTGTTCGCCTAATTCTTTCAGTAAAATTACGTTTTTCAATTATTGTCTACGAATACTTATATACGCTGCAACAGGAAAACATGCGACAGGTTTATGCTATTTATTTAAACCCAGTCGATATCATCAAATATCCCTTTCTAGACTACTTATCAGATTTCGGATGAAAAAGAGGCCAATGTATCAATGTATTAGTTTTCTCCCAAATCGCCAATGCCAGTAGAATACGTAAATTACTACTTTTACCGATTACTAAAAATCACCAAACGCGGACAGCTTACAGCACTTAGACATTTAACGCATTTTATAGCGGGTCATTTCTTTACACCCCAGTGTCTAAACACAAAGCCGGGAGTGTGTATGATATAATGCAGCGGAATTGTGGCAGATTTGGCCACCTGAGCGGTGCCCATCCAGGCGCGATGGGCCGTCCGGCAGTCCTTTCAGCTGTGTTCGTCGCTAACGCGCAGTTCCAGCCGGGGGAGGGGGGGGGGAGGGGGAGAACGCGGTCTGTTCAACAAGTCTCCACCGCACGCTGTCGTGGACGCCAATAAGGTTAAACGAGGAAGAGCTTAACCCTCTGAATAACTCCGAGCCCTGACGGGGATGCAGATTTCGCTTTCTAGCGTCGTTGAAAAGCAGCTCTATTTAGTATTTTAAAGCGATGCATGAAAGGCAGCTCCGGCCTTTGCAAATATGCGATAGAGGATATTGGATAAGCTCTGTCCTATACATAGATATGGTAGCACCGCCTGTCTAGTGTCTATGTTCCCACTTGCAGAGCAGGTACTACCCGCCACCTCTCTCGGATCAGCCCACCGCGATGTGAACACGTCACGGGAGAAACATACACCCCATGGATGAGATGAGATTAGGTCACGGGTCACCGGGAGTGAGCGAGCCGACATTGGTGTATGACGGGTTTGGTGTGGGTGGGATTAGGGGACGCGCGTCACGACAGCCCGGGAGCCATGCATAATGCAAGAGAATTGAGGAGGTCAAAACAAGGCGGACATTTAAGCACCTCTGGCTTTTAAGAGCCGACCATCCCATTCCCAAGCCACATACATGCTAACATCTTCTTGATTAAAGTGCGATGTTCTAACGAATCTGGAATTTTCTGACTATTGTCTGTCAGCGAACATTGTATTCAACAGTTTCAAGCGTTAATTAATCTCGAGGTAGAAGAACGTCACCAATGGTCATTAGTCAATTTACTCTGAACATATAGGTATTGCCGGGGACGACGATCATGCTGGACGTCGCTTTAGTTAGCTTGTCTAAATTAGTTAAGAAACTTTTATAATGTCATGTGAATACAAAAAAAGATGTCCTATAGAACATTCAGCAGCATAAGTAGGTACCTTGGCATCAAGGATCAGTAAATCCTGTTTTGAAAAAAAAATGTAGGTACTAGGATGAAATTATGTCTAATGATGAAGCTAATAAAAAACGAAATAATTGCTTGTGTTTACTGTAAAATGTACGGATATTACGTAGAATTCAACGTAGCGAAGTAATACATAATTGTGTTATGAATTAATAGTACCTATATAGACGTAAGACGATGGCCGTACTCACTCAAGCATGCGCTCCAAAAAGTCGACGCCGATGGTCTTTTTGTACTCCCTGGTGAAGGTGCCGCGGCAGTAGCGCTGGATCATGCTCGACTTGCCGACGGCGCCGTTACCGACAATCACCACCTGTCGGACAGGGGGACGGCAGAGGTCAGCTGTCTACCCAGCCGGGGTACGGCAGAGGTCAGCTGTCTACCCAGCCGGGGTACGGCAGAGGTCAGCTGTCTACCCAGCCGGGGTACGGCAGAGGTCAGCTGAATAGCAGCCAGCTGGCAGGATTAATGTGCTGTTCTCGATTGGTGGTAATGAAAATTATAAGCAACTTACAGACCATATATATGCAAGATGCTACAAATGCCATGTCCGATGTCCCCGTCTCTCCACCGTTTATGTCGCCGCCGCCGGGTCCGGTCTCCCACACTGTCGGAGCTCGGTGATCACTGCTCAGTGCACGGTCAGGCCGGTCGTTCCCAGCCGCGAATTAGCGGGGTTCGACGGGTCGCCCGCCCGCTGTCCGGCAACACGCGGTAACGGAGCTCCCGCCGACGCGACGGTCGGCCGGGGTCAGAGGTCAGGTCACCATGCCCGTCCACCCCCGGACCCGGCAGACACAACGGTGGGCAGTGCGGAAAGACTGCCCGCTATGCGAATAGGGTTGACCTCTGCGCTGCTGTTGGCTGTCGTGACCGAGGCGCATCGGGTGCACTGTAGTTGACAAACCCCAGCCGCCGAGTCACGAAGTTGGGTCGAGTCACAAACGAAGACCGCTGCGTTAACCGACAGTGGCAGTGGAGATGTAACCTTCATTACTGACAGGGGCTTTGAGAGCTCGTCATTTTCGTGTACGAATTCGTGACTAATTAGAGGGTTCTGATAGTTGACGAAGGATTTATGCATAGAAGAAATTGAGGCGCCATGTCAAATGTCGCAAAGTACTCTGTTATACTGTTTAGCAGTTAACAGTTATAAAGTGAATAATAATAGCTTCTAATTGACGGGTATATAGCCTTGACAGAAAATGTTACGCTAATGCAAGCCTCGGGACATGCATTTGATGGAAAACAAGCGACAGGGCCTAAATCACCTTACCTTACCTTACCTTACCTTACCTTAATTTGATCGGAATTTAGAGGCCACTTGGCCTGTAGGAAACCGTTCTCATCGAGCTCTTGACATATTTGACCTTTCTAACTCCTATCAGGTATCTTGTACCTGATGTTTGCCCATTGGGCATCCAGTCTTGATTTGAACTGCTCAATAGAAGCAGCGTCCACGACCGTTTGAGGCAAGCCTTTCCAATCATTGACGACCCTAACACTGAACGATTTCCTCCTTGATCTGGTGTCGGCTCTGGGCTTCTGGACCTTCTGCGAGTGACCTCGAGTTCGGCCGAGGTCGAGTTGCGAGTGACCACACTTAACAATATAGATTAAAGACCTTCAGTTTACATGTCTCTATCATCTTAAGCACATCTTGTGGTGCTTGCTATATATCTTCACGGTATCAAGAGTTCAACGACTACATACGCGACACGCGTAGTGCTTCCCCCAGCTTACCAACCCAGAAAAGCCCAGCTCAACTCCCCGGACCGATTTACTTCTGAGCTTCTCATACCAACACAGCTCAGCTTCTCATACCGACTCAGCTCAGCCTCTCATACCGACTCAGATCAGCTTCTCATACCGACTCAGATCAGCTTCTCGACTCACACGACTAAAGGATCGGTTACGCGTCGTGGGAAGCCCGCCAAACAATCAATTGACCACGCTCACAAGCCACTTAGCTAGTCATCAGGAATGCCAACGGAACTAAGGACCTCAGCGTGAAAATAAATCAGTCATCGTTGGCTTTTTCCCACCAGGTTCAGATGCAGGTCGAGCGTCTCTAATTGTGGTTGCTAACCATAGGCCCTCCACGAGACCGCCCAGCCTCTGCTTACGGATCATATGGGTGGAGTTGCTACTTAGAGGAGCGTTGGGGTAGCGAGACTGGCGTTTGTAATCTCCCGTGCCGGTTGCCACCCTTGTTTACCAAGCTTGGTAATACGATTAGCGTAAAGTCAGCGCCGCCGTTACAGTTACAAAAACCAGTCCAACGAATGCTTTTGATGGCGCGCGTAATGCAAGTGCTCTGAGTACCTGAGGAGCATCATAAGCCAGCCATGCGTCCACGGTTATAGACATGGAGAAGTAACCAGAGCTGAGAGCGCTCAGAGCCACTGCTCCGGCCTGGCCACGGCCCGGCTCCGTAACTGTCTACAATTAGCCACTGACTGGCCGTGGCCGGTCAGCCAGAGCCGCCGTGGAGCGGCTGCTCCCAGCCCGTCCGATCTTAGAACGGCCGTCTGATCCCGACAGGGCCGCGGCGCTCAGCGGCGGGTGCGGAGTTCAAGAACCCCATGGCAGACCCGCTGCGCGCTTCCGGCCGCCTGTTAGATGCAGCTCTGCACGGCGGAGGAGGGGGAGGGGTAGGGTAGCCGGCGCTCCGGGGGAGGGGGGGGGGTAGAGCAGCCGGCGCTCCGGGGGGGAGGGGTAGGGCAGCCGACGCTCCGGGGGCGTCAGCCGGACGCCAGTTGCTGCAGACGGGTGATGCGGGTCCGTGCCGGATGTCGTCAGAGAACGCCGGCCGTGCAGAATTCGGAGGGGCTCCACGGCAGGAAAGGCGGACTGCATTTCCTGCCGCAGACTGCATGGGTACTGCTTATACATACAGAGCACACGGTTTACTGAACATAGAACCAAACACAGAAAACCATCCAATAAGAGGGGCCCTATATGTGCATTTAGCTATATGTGAAAGGATCATGTTAGGTACAGGATGCTATAACGTACTTCAAAACGTCAGGATATCCAGGATGCCATAACGTACTTGCCTTTTTAGCTGGTCATGTTATGTCTCCTGCTTCTCAAATGGTCACACTATGCCCCTTTTAGTTAAAGTCTCGGAACACCCCATAAATCACAGCAGCGACTCCTCGAGACTGGAGGGGCGACAAGTCATGAGAACTCTTACAGGAATAATGGACGTAATTCCCTAACCTCCCGAGCGGCCGCCAGCGGCCCCGGACGCCATATGTTGCAGCTGTACCTTATCGCGGTGTCATCGGCCCAGTCTGACGGGATGGACACAATAGGCGCCGATGGGCCAATTACGCGGCCAATTAGGCTCATTAGCGAACGCCATGCTCACCAAGGTAAAAGAATGTGAGGTTGAATGGCCTAGGATGGTGCGTGAATGTTATCTCTCTGGCGCGTATTACTAACGGAATAATATGGATATTGGATATCCAGACATCTCGGTTTGATAGACGTGCTATGAGGAGATGGATCAAAATTACGTGAGCATATTTCCCACTCCGTGGAACACACAGGAAAGCAAGATAAATGAAGCTTCAACAGAGAAGATTTTCGAATATTTTGGTTATACCTATGGGCTATGAAGAAGCTAAAATCTAGGAAATGTCGTTAAATACCATGACTATGAAATTCTGAATAACTGCAAATAACTGCAGCTCAATTTTAGCACAGGAGTAGCATTCGTGCGACGGGCTTTGTTCACCGACTATACCGACTCCGATCGGACCGGTCCTCGGCCGCCGCTCCACTCCCAATGATGCCGGGCCGGAGCAGCGGTTTATGGGCCTTGTTTACCGGGAACGGTAACGATCAGTCGGCACGCGCGCTCAGGAGGCGATGCCCTCGCGGCTGAGGGGCCGATCGGCAGCGCTGATCGACGGTACGTGACCGCCAGATGGGCGGCGTGGGGTCGGCGGTCCTGTGGCGGGGTCGGCGATTGAGGAGCAGCGCCGCTCCGCGCACCATTCACCTGTGCCGTCGACAAGTGCTGTATGCCCCTGCCGCAGTCTGAGTGCCGCTGTAGGTGCGAGAAAAGATTCTCAGCTGCGCCGTGGATGCCTCCACCGGCTTCCAGCTGCATCGCAACCATGTCGTGACGGGCAACTCCGCAACTCGAGTAAGGACGGCCGGCGAAATCTGGCTGCAAGCTCGGCATCACGGACCGGTACCCGGTGGCGCAATGCACCCACAAACACGGCTCTGTGGTGATAAACGCTGCGGCCTCTGCTGCAGCGGCGACAATATCGGCGCCATCGGGACGCTCGTGACTGGCCGATCTCGAGCGGCTGGTGTAAGGTGTTCAGTGCTCGGTCCCAGAGCAGGGGTAGCCGCGGACGCCGGCGGCTCGAGATGACGGCATGGCGAACTCGCAGGAGACACGGGGAGGGAGATCGGGAGTATGACAGGACCGCCCGGGGTGGAGGTGGGAGGTGAAACTGGTCCATTGCGACTCCCTGGCACCGCTGCCGGCGCCGCCGCGCGGCTCCAAGGCTACTGGCAGCGCGCGCCAGTGTCGTGGCGGCGCCGTCGTGCCGCACTAACGCGCCGGGATGGTCACGAAGGCCCGTCCCCAGGCCACAGGGCGTCACCCTCAGAATGGCACCGAGGCCGGAAGGAACCTTGACCGCGGCGGTTGGCGTCGGCGCCCGCCGCGCTGAAGTGCGCGGGCGGCAGTGCCGATCGTAAAGTTCGCTTCGTTTGATGCCCGTTTTTGCATTGCAAATGTGTCGTGCGGCACGCTGCGTGATCGATAAATGAATCTAATCGTTTCCTTATTTCGGTGGAACGTTGAATGTGGCCAGCCCTCTTCCTCAATACGCCACCATTCATGTAAGAAGCCTTGGTTTCTCCATTAGCAGTACATATGTCAGCATTCTGTGGCAGCACCTCTCGATCATTGCATCAATGACACCATTATGCTTATTACACATATGCCCCCCGCTCTCTCTCTCTCTCTCTCTCGCTCTCTCTCTCTCTCTCTCTCTCTCTCTCTCTCTCTTTCTCTCCTCCCTCCTCACCCTCTCTCGCCCGGTGGATCGACAGGTATCGATCAGACGCGACTCCAGCGGTGTTCGATAATGGAAAACGCGGCGACTCCAAACACCGACCGGCCCCCCACCGAGTCGGAATGGCAGAGGCCTGTCTGTGAGTCTCACACAGTAAAGCAAACAGGCCAGCGGGTCCCCTCATTGCTGCAGCCATTGCCCTATGAGTTCACTAGTTTTACACACGCCACCACACAGCAGCGATGAAGGACCAGACGAGGTCTCGCCCTGGCGCGGGTACTGTCCCTGCAGCGGCGGCGGAGGCCACCAGCCGTGTCTCCGTCCCACCTCCATTGTCTCCCGCGGTAGCCGGTCGTCCACCGACCTCACTGTGTCGGCGTCAGGAGACATGAATGGGGCGCCGCTCCTGGCCAGGAGGCCCAGAAAGACGGCAAGTGGCGGCATTCAGGTACGAAGTGATTACAGCTAAATTATAGCGTTCGACTTTTAAAGGTAATGGATTGTAAATTGAAGACGGATAATGTGCTTAGTATCTCTGTCGAGGCTTGGGACAGAAGTTCAGTAAAAGCTGCATGTGGGGAGTGGAGGATGACTGTTGTGTGCACGCGGCACCAGGAACAAGTCACGTTCGTAAATAGAAAGGTCTTGGCGTTTGTGTGTTTTTACACATTGGTTTTTATCACAGGGGTGCTAACGGATCGTGCATGCCAGAGAGCAGAAGTGCGATTTGCGACAGACAGCCTTATTAAAACAGCAAAGAACAATATTACTTATTAGGATAGCTTGCTATGTGAAAGCTCTATCAAAACAAATACATCTGCTCGCTAGCTACTAAACGTTAAGCAGTGAATGTGTCAGTCATAGTTTTCTGCCGTGTTTCACCGGTTTTTGTCAATACCGTTGCATATCAGTGTTAGCCGTGACACAGTTCCGGGAACCACGACTCATCACTGGGCGCTAACACCAGTCGGCTGCGGCTGGAGGCCACGCGCCAGCACCGGGTGACTACAACGTAGCACTACACGCTAGCACTGGATGACTGCAACGCAGCACTGCAGAATAGCACCGAGCGACTACAGCTTAGTATTCCAGACTAGCATCGAGCGACTACAACGGAGCACTGCAGACTAGCACCGGCGGACCACAGCTCAGCACTGCCGACTAGCACCCAGCGACTGCAGCACAGCGCTCCTCTAACACCAGGTATTTTCAGCTCAGCACAGCTCTCTGTCAGCGGCTCTGGCGCAGCGAGACTCAAAAATCAAACACGATCAAAGCAAATGCGCTCAGGAATCTAAAACAAACTAAGCCATGCATGTTTAGCACATCGGTCACATTAATGGAAATGCTGGACACTTTCCCATTCGTGTTCCATGTTTCTCATTATGTCTGAGCGCCGGATAGAATCAAATATTGACCGTTCGCTGCTCAATCACACGAATCGATCTCACTTGGCCACCTTATGAGGCGTGAAGTGGGTTCGAGTAGAGGAACGACAATAGCAGTGCTAAAGTAAATCTTTGGAAGTGCCTGACTGTAAAGATGACACGTCAGTGTTCTAGGACGATCGACTGAGTTTTAGAAATCCCCCAAGGATCAATGATTTAGAGCACCAGAGTCTTGCCACTTTCTGAATAAATTTATCATTAAAATGTTTACGGTGGTGGGAGCAATGCAGCTCTCGATATCAGCAATGTAATCATTTAAAACTTAAGCACCTTATATTACCTCACAAACCTACCACTCTCAAACGAGATAATACATAGTTTATATGACGTATGCCAATCGCAAATACATAACTTACCTTCACAGCGACCTCCATTTCGTCGTCCCTCATCTTCGGGCTATACTAGGCCGCGTTCATATATGTGAAGTCCCGGGTAGTCGTCTTCGTCAGTTCTACGTTTCAGTATCACAGTTAGAAGACATTCGCGCACATTTTCATCACTGCATCACTCCTGTATCGCATTGTCAACGTCAGTTGATTTGTAGCTGCCTCGACCGCAGCAATTCCGCCTCTTTCATTCAGCAGGTGCAATGGATATTCCCGAAGATATTCGATTATTTCTGATGCTGTCTCTGCTTGTCAGGATCTTCTTCAGCTTTTGTACGATAGTTTCCTGAAACAGAAAAAAATATATTATCAAGGAAGGTGTAAAAGGTCACCAACGTCCAACACGCATGCTAACGGACACCGTGGCAACAAATGGACAACATGGCAACAACTGGACAACATGACAACAACTGGACAGCATTACAAAAATGGACATAATAACAATTCGACAACATTCGTGTACAGAACAGAAGTGCTGGCTTATGAGATTTGTTTACACTTTTCCCCAAGTCACCTCACTATGACATCGTTCTATTTCCATCATTACTTCCGATAGAAACCACCCTCATTTTCATAAACAATACCAGTGCAGCGGCTATTCGACATTGCTATAACGCACATGGCATACGCATGGCGCATTATTCAAACGGCTGAGAATGTGTCATTGAATTCAAATCGGGCAGTTAAGGCGCTGGAATGGAACTATGAAACTGCCGCAAAAAAAAAACTTTTAGCCTACAGAGTGAAAGTCTCTCTTGGCATCTATGATTTCGTGGTCGTTGAATTTAAATGATATGGAATGAATTATGCCGGTTCGATGCGTAATGCATAATGACATGGACGGGATCGTAAAAGTGAATAACAGAGCTACGAGCTTTGCGTATGACATTTGACGCCAAGGAAAAAGAGATGCACGTCAGGGAAAAGACGAACTTCACCGCTGGTCGCAAATTCTCTGTATAAGACTCTAAGTGACGAAGCTTTCATGTTTAGTTATTCCTGCTTTACCTCAAATAGCTGGCTCTGATTTCAAACCGTTTAACAATTGGCATTCCTCACCCGACCCCTACTAACGAGGTCGTGACAGAGACCAGAGGTCACCCGCCGCTACCCCCCCCCCCCTCCCACCCCCACGGCTGCCGCCGCATCACGCTCGGCGTGGGGTGCCGGGCCCGCCCCGAGCGGCCCTGGGTCCGGCACTCCCAGGAACTGGCCAGTATGGATGATAGTTAAAGGTAGGGACGTAGGGCGTTGGTGATAAATTAATCACGGTCACTGACGGGCGAGCTGTGTGCAGTGGGAGGCGGAGGGGGTCAAACTCACCTCTGTGGGGGAGGGGAGGGGAAGACCATGACTGAAGTGACACCGTTGAGGGAGGCGCTCTGCTAATTCACCTGCCATGGTCGTTAGTAAAGGAGAGCACAGGGCGACTACTGATGCACCGAATTAGGGAGATGGATAGAAAGCAGGCGAGTGCAGAATATTCCCGGAGCAAGGGCGCTTGTGACAAACAAGCACGGTGCATAATGATTACGGTGTGATTGATGGTAACAGAGTCAGAAGCTTGATGATCACTTGACAGAAGCACTCTGAGGTCAAAGTGGTCATTCCATGTACCGTGTTCGCTGTCACAATGTGCAGGAGGTCGGCCTAATTTCTTGCAAACATGAAACATTGTCATTAGCCCACTGCGACGCTGCCGAGACACCCTTGTCTTGGAGGTGAGAGCTTTCCTTTAGGACCCGGAGCGAAAGCCGTCTGTGGATTTTCCACTGGGAACCTGGCCTGGTATCGGGGGCAGCCTGCACTTAGTGTAATGAAGCATAATAGCCCAGTAATTGGTGATTTTAATTGGCGCGGCTTGCGTAATGCAGAGCATGATTCCGCCGGGTGTCGTGACTGTGTTTTTGTGATCGAACCGCTGGCTGCTAGAATTACTGCAGCGAGTCGAGCTGGCGCTGTTTATCCAGCCTAGTTAGTCCCTCGTTATACCTACCAGATCAGTTCACCAGCTATCAGGGCTGGCGAATGAACCGAATTATTAAAAGTCAACCAGCTAGCTGCAGAGTGCAGATAACGACTATCAGCTAAGAACAAATCGCTAAAAAACGTGGACGATATGCTTGGTGATTGGTAACTTTTTTAATTAAACGAATCAGCAAATAGGTATCATTCTACTGAGCACGCATTAACCTTCCACTGGCGGTGAGGGGGGGCATTTTTTTGCCCCCCCCCTTTAGTTTTTTCGATATATCTCGAGAACCGCTGCGCCGATCGTCACCAAACTTTCAGTACCTTCCCGGGAGTAGCTAGCGCACATGGTGACCAAAATTTTTTTCCAAAGGCTATGATAGGTTGGCCGCTAATGACGTCAGAGTGACGTCATTTTTGCCATTTTCGACCCAAAAAAAGGTTTCGCGGGAAGAGCTGTCAGGCCTACAGCTTTAGAGATACAGAAAAATGTTTCAGACATAAGAGGTGTGGAATCAAAAGGGCTACAAAACTGTTATTTCGGTTTTTCGATTTTTTTGGATTTTGACCCCCAAAATAAAAAATAGATTTTTTAAATTTAATAGCCGAAAAATCAAAAAAAAATTGAATTTCGAAAAAACGGGATATATGTGATAGTCCCTACCACTTTCTATCTACATACCAAATTTGAGACCAATGCCTCTTTTTTGGCCAAGTTATAGCGAAAAAAAACTGTTCAAAATTGATGACGTCATATTTTCAAACTCGATTGTTAGCAATTCTAGACCTCGTAGCGCAAAACAAAGACCACCATTAGACTCCCCGTGACGAGCTGCATCGAATCGATACCCATTTTATGCAAAAATATCAACTTTGAAATTTGACCTTTCTTGACCTGACCTTGACCTGACCTCCACCAGAAAGTGGCCTAAACCGTACCTGATGGTCTTATAGCCAATACCATTGAGTTAGAAATAAAAAACTGGCCATAAAACATGCATCGCACAACCTTAGTAAAGTTGGGTTCATGTGGTGACCCTTGGTGACCTTTGGTGACCTGACCTGTGACCTGACCTGGTATGACCAGTGACCCCTAATAGCAACATATGTACTAGTCAACTGACGCCTTATCGCTGATTTTCGACAAAATGCGTTTTACTCGGTGTTATAGCGCTTTCCCTAGAAGCCCCAACATTTCATCTTTGACCTGACCTGTGACGTCATCGGTGACCCCGAGGTCAATGAAATTTGGTTTCCTTCGACAAATTTGACAGGGCTATCGACCGCCGTTTGAATTTTCCGGATCCGTCCAGTAGTTTCGGAGATACGGGGGGGGGGCCAAAAATGCCCCCCCTCCCCCCCACCGCGCGGAAGGTGGCTGGGAGGCCCACCGCCTGCCGGGTTAAACAAATAAAATGGTACCGTTTCAATTGTCCGAATGTCATGCTGAACCTCTGTCATGTCATGCCGAATTATCAAACGTCTATGCATTGATAAAATTGGACACCATCATGTTTTTTCCCTCCTCCGACTCCAAGAAATAAGCGACCTGTGACACTCCGTCCTAATGTGTGGATGCGCCGCCCGCCAGCTGGGACCTACGGCCGCCACCCCGGCCCCGCGGACTGCCCCGTGACTGCCCCGCGTGGGCCGCCCTGCCGCTATCTCCGCGCCGGCCCCATCAGCGGTAACAAGAGCGGCCCGGCCACGGCGGCCCGGCCACGGCTCGGGTCAGAGGCGTGACCGGCCACTGATGAGTCGTCTCGTTAGCACCCGCCGGTCGTGCCTCATCGCTGCAGAGAGACGGCCGGCGACGAGCCCAGGCCCGAGCCTCTGAGACCACCCCCGGATCCACTGCGGGACCATACTCGTACAGGCACCTGAACCCCGAACGATAGGGGAGAGTGGGGAAAGATGCCCAGGGTTTTGCTATGTCATATATTATTCGAAAATGACGATGGGAAAGTAAAAACTTGGAGTTTCAACAGAAGCCGACATCATTTTTCTCCAAAAATATCACACTTTCGTGCCTGAAATATTATAACCTTTTTTGCTATTAAGCATTTTCCTGAAGAAGTGAAAGGGGGCATCTTACCCCACAGGGTGGGAAAGACGCCCCCTGACGTTGGGAAAGATGCCCCCTGCACTATAAGTGACATAAATGGGCACGTGAATCGCCTGAACGAATCAGTAGTCCCTTCGAGCCTGCAGTAGACACCAAACGTCATCATAAGGGCCCTCAAAAGTAGTCGTAAGGGGCTTCAGAGGTCATCGTTAGGGCCATCATAGTCCAGCGCGGCCAAACAAGCCTCTATGGTGGCGTTCAGAGACCACTGTGGGGCTCTTATAGGTCTTCATGATGCTTGAGGGCCCTCGAGCCCATCGTGGGGACCTCCGATGCCAGCGCGGCCCGTGGGCCCAACGTGGGAGCCCTCAAAGGATGTCGTGAGGGGCCCTGGAGCCAATAATGGGGCCCACAGAGGCCGTCGTGAGGGCTCTCAGAGTCAGATGCCGCCCAAAAAGTCGCTATGTGGGCCGAGAGACCGGCATGGGGAGCACCCGACCGTACTGGACTCTCAATAGTCCAAGATCGGCTTTTGTCTACATCACAAGTATGTAATAAATGATTTGACGGGCTGTTTGAAGGACAGCCTACGGATTTAGGGGGGCGTCTTTCCCCATCAGGACAGGGGGCATCTTACCCCAAGGTACCGAAGTAACATTAAATCAGTACAATTTGTTAGCCATAAAACTACACCCTGAAACAAACTTTTTGGGACACAGTACACGCATGCTAATGTATCACGACTATAGTAAGGGACGCAAAAATTATTTACCTTCTTTGATATTTACAATGTTCTGACACCAAAATATTTTTTGAAAGCAGCAAATAAAAAACATGCTATCATCAGCCAGCCGTTGCTCAACTGAGCTTCGCAATTTTTTGTGCAGTTAACAAGGCAGGCTTCCGCTTTACGCTAAGAACATTAATTTCCAGGTCCGATTTTTTGTTTCGCCGCTAGAGGGGGTGGGGCGTCTTTCCCACCCTGGGCATCTTACCCCACTCTCCCCTACTGGTTGACAGCCGACAGCGCAACACGGCGGCGAACCACTGTGGGGTTTTTGTCGATCCTAGCACGAATTTATTTATATCGCATCCTCCGCTACCTTAACTAATTTTATTTCACTTTCAAATGGTTAGGCTTATGGTGTATGATCCCTGCCAACATGGTTGGCTCTCCTGCTTGACCCCATCCCTCCCCCGCCCCCTCCCCACGGACTTAGCACTGAAGCGTTTTCGGCTAGCAATGCATC